TACGGGAATTCTGATAAAAAGACATGATTTGAACATTATTCAAACAAATCACATGCAAATGTACAAAATATGATGCTAAATGATAATAAAGACTATCCTAAAAGATTCATAAAAATGGCATTTATCAAGACCTTGGTCGGATTAGGTTAGGTGTTTTGTTAGTGTGGCTGACAAATAGGGTGATTCAATCTACCTGAGGGTTGTGCATTATTTTAGGATCTACAAGCCCTCAGATGAAAAGTGGATTCTTTTCTTGTGGGTTTAGGATGTTGTGTGGAGTAGTTTTTTCTTCAGGTCGCTTATTACTCATTAAATTATGCAGAGGTTTCGGGAGGAGGTCGATTGATCAAGGGGTTACTTCGAAAGTGGAAGCAAGAACCGAATTCGTGGATGAAATCTAATTTAAGTAGGGGGGATTATAACACCCCATTTCTAGATCGGATCAGTTTAGGGCTTCAATGAGTCAAAGGCATGGTTTTTGGAACCAGGTGTGACGATGTGACCATAGAGAGGTCACAACGTGACAAGTGATTAAATGAAAATTATTGATTTAGCTAGGCTCAAGACGTGATCCATATGAGCTCATGACGTCAGATATGTTGCATCCTAATGATCTTTTAGGGTTTCCTTCGTATTTAACCCCATAAACCTCATTTTAGGGTTCATTTATAGTCTCATTCGTCCTCAAGCACATGAAAACCCTAACCCTAGCCCCTCCTTGTGATTTCTGAGCTTTTGGTGGTGTTTTGGCAGCTTGAAGAAGAAGATATCACCACTGGAGCATAAATTCAACTTGGAAGCTTCATTTACATCTCCTAGCAACATATCTGGACCATTGTGAGTAACCAAAATTCAAGCTTTGTGATTCCTTATTGCTAGATCTAAGGTTTTATGGATGGTTATCCATGGTTAGATTAGTTAGAATGTTGTGACTCCATAAAGCTAGCAACTTTATGGTCCTTAGAGTCCCTATGTGATTATATGTGGTGGATATAAAGTTTGGGTGATGTTTGAGCTCATGATTAATTTTTGACTTCCTTTCCTTCTTGAGTGTCCTAATTTGAGTTCAAGTATTGCATTGGACATGCAATACCTTAAAGCATCGATTTTTATGGTCTTTGGGGCGTTAGGAAGGCTTCTAGAAAAGATGGATTAGTATCTTAATGGATTAAGGGGTTTCATTCATCAAAATGTCATTCTGACATATCTCACGACTTGAGGTTATGCATGTCATTAATGGATTAACTTTCATTAAACATTGCCCATAGAATTTTTGACCAGTTTGACTTTGGGTCAAACTTGAAAGAATTGGGTTGTTGGCTAAGATTATTCTATGTTTTGGTGATATAAGGCTATTGGGAATAAGCAATGTAGAAAGAGGAGTGTGTCACAGTGTTTCTAGGTTCTTCAGTTCATGTGAGTTTTCCTCACTATATATATGTAACGAAGGCACCAATATTGGTCCATTAGTTTTGGTTATCATTTAGTAGAGGGATGCCATAAGGAATGTATGTAGTCAAGTAGGATATACTAGTGACTCTTAATCTAGGCTTTCTTACATGTTCCTTGTTCGGTTGTGGCTTTATAGTAGGATCATTTATCTGGGAGTCTATCTCACCTCTGGGTACATATGGTTATGCATTTCTTGGAGTGTTGGTTATGTATCCTTGTGTATAAGATGTTGTTGTGCTTTAGTGATTTGCTATATATATATATATATATATATATATCCTTGTATGATAGGATGCACGGTAATGGTATGTTGGTTATAGTACTAATAGGTTGGTTATCGTCTAATGGAGTGCCCTAGGGGTTGTATGTAGTCATGTAGGATAACCTGAGAACTGTTGATCTAGGCTTTCTTGCATGTTCCTTGTTTGGTTGTGGCTCTAGAGTAGGATCATATGTTCAAGTCGCTATCTCACCGATGGTTACTTATGGTTACGCATACCATAGAGGTTAGCTGGTAGCAGAGTAGTGTGTTGTGAGGGGTCTAGTCGGCGGTAGTGAGTTGTATGATTTATAATTGCATTTATTATGTGCTTACTTGATCCTTGATTGTTTATATGTTGACATATGGTAGCGGAAGAGGTTGATGTGGTCCTGTTTTGTGTTGTAGGCCAAAAGACCGTGTACGATTCAGCTATAAGTCGTAAGCACAGAGGCTCGGGAAGAACGGTTGGGTTGAGGCAACAGACCAACATACATGGGGTAATCCAATCTAATGATTGTGGACCCAGCATGCATGCTTGTATATGTTTTGTTGTGTGCGATATTTTAGGGAATTTCACTAAGCTCCGTGCTTACCCAGTTGTTATTGTTTTTCAAGTATCATCGGTTATTATGGGAAAACGAAGACGTGACTATACCCATTCATCAGCAGCAATGAAGATTCCATGTTATATTACTCTGACTTTTAACAAATTTAATTTTGGAACAAATGATTGTCTTAATATGGATTTTATAGTGTGGAGTTTTACCTTAATAAAAATGATTTTTTTTGTTGTGAAAATGGGATGTTACTTCCGAGAGTAGCGCCCCTAGTGGGTTTCCAAGTGGCATCGCCCTTGGTGCAGTCCAAGGGACTAGCCTAATTTTCATGTCAAATAACCCAATAGTTGCATCTATTCCTTGGGATGTCGGTTCCCTTACTAACCATTGTCTTCTACAAATAAAAAAGAAGACTTGAATGTTGTAGAAGAGATATAAAGCGAGAAAGTTGCTTCTTCTTTTTATCTTTGCATTATGTGTTTCAAGAACACAACAAAAGCAAGGAATTGTGTGTTTTTGAATTTGGATTAGGTATGTAATTCCAAATCGATTTTCGTGAATTATCTCAAATCTGATTTTGTGATACCCCAGACAATAGTGTCAAAATTATGGATTTTGGAAAGTCTGTAAATACATGATCCTTGAATTGTCCAAGTGATTATATTGATATTCGAGACCCAAATTTTAATAGATAAAACAAGGTCACCATGACTTCTTCGTCAAAAGAAGGAAGCGTTGACAATGAAGACCTTGAATGTGTGCTTTCTCTGCAGATATTGATGAAATGACTATTTCCCTAGATATATTGGATTATATGTGTTTAGATACCCAAAGGATGATGTTCTTCAACTATGACCAATAAAATGTTGATCATGTTTTGTACATTTTATTTAATGGAGACAAGAACAATGCAAATATAGACAAAATGTTTGAAAAGAAAGGGAATAAGGAACAATTATTTTATAATGATTTCCAGGGACTGTGACAAATAAGATATTGACATTGAGGTGGAATATATGTAATTTGCTCTTTAGGTTATTTATCTTTTAATTATATTTGAAAGATCTCAATCAATGTTCTAAAAAGCTTGTCATGATTCTGTCATGACGGCCCATGACTCTAAGGCTTGTACTTACCGTCAAGCTTTGATAAAATGTCGCCTTAAGTCATATATGTATTTAAAAATGAATAAGAGTAGAATATATATATATATATATATATATATATATATATATATATATATATATATATATATATATATATATATATATATATACAAAATTGTTGTCTTAAGTGATGCTTTACAAACATCATGGTTCGTCACGACTCAATAAAATTTGAGTATTGATATTGCCATCAAATCACGTTTTAGGTTATTTTAAACATTTGTCTCAATAAACCATTGGGTAGATTTCATTCAATACATTGGTATGAATCCAAGATAACCATCTTGTCGCATTAAATATAACAAAATTTGTTTATTTAGATCTATATAGCATTTATATTACATCCATTGTGGTATCCAATTCGATAGAATTATATGATTAAATTTCACATTAATGGTTTAACAAGAAGTGTGAGCTATTAAATATGATTAAAAAAATAAATAATATGTAAAATAAATTGTACATTTTTATAACATTGACCCCTCTTATATGCATGTTTCAAAAGCCATTTTTTTGTTTCATTTATTTTACCTTATATTTTTTCTGGTGTTTGTATTTTTGAAATAAATGTTGACGAATTGCACCAAAAGTCTTTGTTTTGTGCTTACTTTTCACAATAAAGTCTACAAATTTAAATGTGAGGACCATTACATGCTTCGTTTTTCCTTTCTTATAATTAAAAGAAGAAAAAATAGTTTTGTAAAGACTAGATTGTTACACAGTATTTACATTTTTATCGACAATCGTTAAAAACCAAATAATGGAAATTGTAATGATAATCTCCTCATTTATGGTAATCAAATAATCATCATGCAATTTAAATTTCCCTATTCGTCGAATATTTTCTATCCATATTTTATTTTTAGTTTCTTGGGTTTCTTCATTCCTTACGTTATTTTTCCTCGATAAAACTGTAAAATTGGTACCTGTGGCATTCAAAAATCTTTGGATAGGATCCAAAAAGTTTCCAACTTGCATTGAATGTACAAAATCAAAACGTTTCCGTGATTTATGTCCAAAAAAACTTGAAAATACGATTATACCATTTTATTTTCTTTTTTGTATTTTTATAATTATTCTAGTCCCATTTTAATTAAAAAATAAAGAAAAAAGAAAAAAATATATATCACTCATCCTACCCACCCACCGTTCTTTCTCTCTCTCTCTCTCTCTCTCTCTCTCTCTATATATATATATATATATATATATATATATATATGTGTGTGTGTGTGTGTGTGTGTGTGACATAACTCCTGAAATTCATCTTATTCATGAACTACTAATTTGTTTTGTTAGATTTCATTATCTTTGAAGAACACCTGATGAATCACATGGTCAGAGTCATACACCATGACAAATTTCATTATCAATATCCGATCCTTCTCTCACAGCTTTCGTCTATGTCCCTATCACAAACCCTAACCCTAATTCTTTGATTTCCTCCACCGCCACCATTAAATCGACGACATCGTAGCTTCCCTAGCTCCATCTTCAGTGATTAAATCGACAACCATTTTATGATTTTACTTCAACTTTTGGATTTTATTTGGGGATTCAACTTCATCAGTAAAAACCAAGGCGATGAATCAACTTAACCAACACAACTCTATCAATCTGTGGTGGAGAAGAGAAGAGGTCAGCGAAGGTGGAGAAGAAGAAATCGACGAAGGCGAAGGTGGAAGTGGAGGCAGAGACGGGAGAAGATGAAGATTTGTGGTGGGGTAGGTATATCATTGTTCTTGTTTTCTTTACAGTACCCACTTGCAATTGCAATACATAAATCACACAGAGAGGAAGAAGAAGACCACTTTTCTCGTTTTCCTTACACTCAAACCTGTAAAATCAGATTCAGAGTAGGAGTTGGGCATATCATTTTTTTCTTTTGGATTCTAACCTGCAACTGCAACTGTGAGAGAAAGAGACCTAAAATTATAAACATTACTTGTAAGGACAGGTAGGCTAGATTAGAATGTATAGATCGATCCATCCCAATTGTAAAAAGTTGTGATATATCAAATACTTGAAAAAGAGAATTATGGATTTGAATTTTTGGTATGGGTTTCTACGATTTCTGGTATGGGTTTCTACGATTTCTGGTATGGATTGTGAGAGAGAGAGAGAGAGAGAGAGATTTATTTTTCTTTATTTTTTAGTTAAAACAATATTAAAGTAATTATAAAAAATACAAAAAAGAAAATAAAAGAGCATAATCGTCTTTTCAAGTTTTTTTGAACCTAAATCATGGAAACGTTTGATTTTGGACCTTCGATGCAAGTTGGAAACTTTTTGGATCCTATCCAAAGATTTTTAAATACCACAGTGACCAATTTTGCAGTTTTGTCTTTTTCCTCTTAATTATTAACTGGTTCATCCCTCCTTTTCAATGCATTTTTGCAGTCCCAATTCGTAGAATACAAAAAGTATAAGTCAAGTCAAGATGCAAGATGCAAGAAAAAAAAGAAAAAAAAATGTGTGGTTTCAAACAACTCGTGTGTCATGGTTTTGTTAGGACTCTGAGAATTTGTAGCTTCTAGACCTAACATTTATAGATTCATAGCTCGATCATAACATTATATGTATAACAATTGGAAGAAACATTAAAAGTATATGATGAACATTGAAGAAATTGTGACAAAATGCTAGTAACACAAGTTCTCTTCTTGCAAAGTTGATCTCTTGACAAGTTTTTCACTAAATTACATTTTTCGTAAATGGATATATATGATATTTGCAAATTTTATCACAATTTTTTTATCTTGTAAGTTGTAATTTTTGTCATTATTTCATGCTTTTAACCTATTTGGTCATTATTTCAAATAAAATGGTTATTTTCGGTTGTTTCATATAATTGTTTTATGAAGTTTTAGTCTCTAAAATATAGTCATTTTCGTTGAAACATGGACCTAAAAGGTTATAATAATAATAATAATAATAATAATAATAATAATAATAATAATAATAATAATAAATTTGTAAAAGAAAAAATTTGTATCAAAATTAAAAAAATTAAAAATTAAAAAATCGACCACCAATAAATAAATATCAAAGTTTTTAGTATGAATTTGATCTAAAATCAACTATAATATATAAATATCTCTTGACCTACACCACATGAAAATCTATTTACCTCATATATCTCTCTCAACCAACTTAATTTTATTTTATTTTTTAAATTTAAACATGTACTAAAATTAAAAATAAATAAAGCCAAAATTGAACATAACATTCCATTAAAAAAGCAAACAACTACAAACATTTATTAAAATCGCAAAATTGACAATTAAATTCTTAGAACAATAATTAAAATCCTAAATTAACTTCTATAACTCCCAACTGTAAATCGCTTCCATTTCCCGCTTGTGTGTGACCATCGTATTCAACATCTCTCCAGTCATGCGGTTGAAAAGAGAACCACAATTTTTTTTTTCATTCATTTCTCCTTGAGCAAGCTTAAGTCCTCATCCAAGTCTGCCACTTTATTTCTCTCGATCATTTCCATGATACTCAATTTATCAACTTGGCATCGCTTTGTCATTCGTCTCTTCTTCGTTTGTATAGGTGACACCAACAATTTTGGTGAAGATGTATTTTATTTCAGGATGTCAATGTTGTTTTCTTCATTTTTCGTCATTGAGGTTGTCACAGTGATTCCAAATGAAACTCTTCAACCTCTATGTTGAATTCAAATATAATTTGTGAATTCAAAGAGGTTGTGTGCGTGTTGGAGTCGAATGTGTTGGTCATGTTGGATGGATGGGAGGATTCTTACCCATTGCTTCGACGTTTAACCCTTTCACATGGAATTTTAAAATAATCCATGTTGCCTTGTGTGGAAAGGCTTTTATTTTAAAAAAAAAAAAAAAAAAAAAAAAAAAAAAAAATGATACTCACTTTGCGTCGACTTTAAATATCGACGTTTGATCTTCTACTCGTACGATTATTTAACTTTTGGTTGTAAATGGAATTGAAATTGTTGTCTTCCGCATACAAATCCTTCCATTTGGAGTTCGCTTAAAGTTTAGAATGATCTGACCCCCCCCCCCCTCTCACACACACAATTGTTTGAAGTTTTCCAGAACATGCTCCCAAAAAGAATTCGATTTTTGATGATTTCCACATTCCTTGTCTTCTTAAACATCGATATGAACCTTCGCCAACGCTCATATTACTTTTCAGACCATTCTTTGGATTTTTTTACGTTAATTATAGTTCATTTAGGGTTGGGATTCAATGGTTTGGATTTGAGGGATAGGTTGGAATTTGTTGTTTGATTCTTTAGATTCGTGGTTTTGAACATATTCAGGAGTGGACTATGAGTGTTGCATTTTGGGAAAATGAATTTAACTATTGTTGGCACGGATTAAAACCATAGTGATCTTGAGATAGCATAATTTAGTAGGCCTGACAATAGGGTTTGGTTTGGTTGGCGGATCACGGATTGATGGGTTAAAAAACATAAACTCAACCAATCCATATAATATATGGGTTGGCGGGTTGGAAACCTTAACCAAACTCAACCCATATAACATGTTTAAGTATGTGGATTCGTGGGTTCATAAATTAGTGGGTTGAACCCAACCCGCATAACCCGTTTAATAAATAAGCAACACATTTTCAAAAAATGAAGTTTTTTCAACAGAAAGTCATAAAGTGATTGAAGTCATTAATATAAAAAAATGTTTTCAATATAAAGTCATAAAATCATTAACATCTAAAAAAATTAAAAAATAAAAACATTCATACAAAGTGCAATTGTTCAAAAATATCCAAAAACCAATTCGATAATTCATTCATGCTAGAATTCACATTTCTTCCTCCAACACCGACTTCTTCATGATAACCTTCAAATAGAAACAATATGCAAAATTAAATTTATGATCTTTTGAATTGAAGCTACATAAATAATTTTATATCTTCTTACTATTTATACTAAAAAGAACTTACCAAATGAAAACTTAAAGTATGTTGAAATTTGTAGCATTTGTATTGTCTTCATTGATGTTCAAATTCATTACATTTTGAGTTAGGTTGTCGATAGCCACATCCAAATTAACTGCATAAGAAAATAAAAAATAAAAAAATAATACAATTATACGTTCTTTGTTCGTAACTTGTGAGTACGTGTGTTTTCTTTTTTGATTCGGGCATTGCAAAAAACTAGTCACATGATTATACAAATACGGAAGGCGAAGAAATACAATGACACAAATAAGATTTCATTAATATATATATATATATATATATATATATATATATATATATATATATATATATATATATATATATATGTTGGTGGCTTAACCCGCGAACCTAAACAAATGACCCAACCTAACCCATGAAATAAATGGTTGCGAGTTGACGGGTCAAAAATCTCAACTTAAACTCGTTTATTTTCAGGTTGGGTCAATATCAAATCACGGATTGGATCAAGAGTTGTCACCCCTATAATTTAGCTATACAAGTGTTGCATCGGAAGATGACTACAATGTTGATATTGAGGGAATTAGTTATAATTTGGGATTTGAATTGTGAAATGAAAAATGGTATCTTTGGCTTGAACCCATTCTTTGGATTTGCCACAATTAGAACCCATATGAAATATAATATAAACTTTTGGAATGAAATTAGAGAATTGGAGAAAAATTGTCATTCTTGAAGTGGTTGAATGTGATATACATAGATTGTAATTGGAGAAAATGCAACAGATGGTCAACAGTCAAGAGAGAGGGGCTAGATGGCCAATTTTTTACTTTGGACCCACCAAAAGAAACTATTACGCAATCATCTTTTGTTATTGCAAGATAAAAAAATATAAAATGACGTGAAGTCAAATATGTACTCATCTAAAATAGGCGTAAAGACTAAAGAACTTCGAAATTAGTATCATAAAAAATTAACACCCATTGTAGCAAACTATTTACCAAATTACAACAATAAATACCTTGAAAAACAAGTGTTACACAGATAAACTATACAAAATGTGGTGCTTCCAACAAATTACCACCATGTTTAGGTGCCTCAAAAAGCTTTTTCTACTCTGTACAAATGACAAGTTTACCCATGTGTTCCCACCCATCCATTAGGGATACCATGTTTATGAAACCATTCAGGCATGTGAAACTTTTCATAGAGTAGAGGCCTTACATCACCCTGTTCAGACAGTTGTTTCAGAAGTGGAAGAATGACATCAAGAAGCTGATTATCATGTGGTTGTCCAGCAGAAAAAGGCATGCATGGGATTCCATTCACTGGTTGCAATAAGAAACTGAATGGATTGTTGTCAACAATCACAATTCTGCAGAAGTTTCTTGATATGCAAGAAAGATCCTTCACATGTTCTCTGTATTCCCTGCAAAAATTAAAAACGTTTAACCTCTTTTCTTCAACTATATTATTATCAAGAAATAGATAGGATAATAAATGGCTAAATGCAACATATAGCAATGCAGTTTCTATTTCTCTTAACTACAGCATTGTACTTTCAAATTATACTTTATTAGAATTTAGAACATTGTACTTTAAAAACTTACGTGGAACTTGTTGAAGGGCGATAAAGTCTCCGACTAAATCTGTTTTCAGCATCTATTCTGTCAACAAGTGGTTTAGCATAACCTGCAATCATGTAATAAATTAATAATAACTAAAGCTGAAAAATTCAACAAAATGAAAAGCAGTGAGTAAAAGCAAACCTTCAAGGCCTGCAGTGAATAGAATAAGATCAGCAAATAAACTGAGTTGGGTAAGAAATTCGTGCAATCCAGGACGTTCGAATACTGTTACATAGTTGATTTTGGGTTTGCCTTCACTTTCCTTCAAATCAGAAGTTTGAATGTTATGTTTGGTTATTTATCTTTATGGTAGATGATAAAGAAGATGAGTAAATGATGAAGATTGATGTTGTTACCTTGTCTGAAGATAGGCATTCTAGCTCAAACCAATTCAATCCAGCATCTATGGCTTGATTACGAACAATGGCAGGTAAACTGGAAGTCTCATAAGCGCATACCAGAGTTTCATCCAAATCAAGAACAACCTACAGCGAGAGTTACATCAATGTTTATAATCAAGCTCAAATCTAATTAGGTTTCTGCACGTAATCTGCTTGAAATCTGATATTTGATGTAGAGGCGTTGATTCCATGACTCTAAACAGTACGAAGAGGTAAAAACTTAGGTCCCCTGGTGTAAAGTATCACTTATTGCAGTAGTATTATCATATGATCTAGTAATTTGAAGTTTTGACACACGAATTCAAATTCTAGAAAAGCGCATGCGTCATCGAAATTAATACAAACGCCTATCAGTTGTAAGTTGTTGATTCAATAGAAGCAATAACATAAATGAGGGGAACAATTATGGTAATAACTAACAACGATTTTGTAAACCTAGTTTTTACTCACAGAAAAAAGCGAATCAAGGAAACGAAAAAACAAATTGAAATGAAAACTAAGCGCACCGTGAGCTTTTGCGAAAGATCATAGGCGGCATCGGCAGTTGGAATATTGACAGCAGAGGAGGCGTACGGTGACGGAGATTCGGGAGATTCAGACAATTCAACGACGGGCAAAGGCTCAAAAGAAGGCGACGGAGACGAAGAAGAAGAATAATTAATCAAGGTAGGAGTGGCTTTAATGATCTGAACAAAGATCTGAAAGAAGAAAGCCAACCAGTTCAACAGTGCCCGCCATACGTGTAAGGTCTTCTTTGGCGCGTATACTTCGGTATCTGTTTGACCAAGCTCCACCATCGCCGGCCGCCAGCAGAAAAGACACTCACAAACACAGAAAGTAAGCTTTCGGATTATAGATTGAACAAGACGATTCCGCTTTTTTGTGTCTTCTCGTCAATATGGAAGACGATGCGGGAGAATCGGAGATGGGGTGGCGCCTCTTGAAGAGATAGAGAGTGTGAGCCACGCGTTTGTCGAAACGAGTGGGGAATTTCAATCGTCGCCGTGAAGATGGATTGGGGAAGAGACTATTTTTGCCAGTTGTTCATTTATGTAGGGGCAAACCACCTATGTTTCTAATTTTCTCAAACTAAGTCCATAGAGTTTAACAGTTTTAACTAAGGCCACAAATATCGTGATATTGTCGCATTGATATCCTTTCCGGTTATTTCTATGATCAATATATTAATTGTTGAATGATAAAAAATGAGAACTGATTTGTACATAATATTTTTTTTCATACATAACAATTTGTGTTTTAAAGTATTGTATTGTACAATTCTATTATACATAAATTGATGTGTATGGTAAAAAACTGTTGTGTACGAATTACTTTTCATAAAAAATCTGGAAACTTTGTTTTCAGGTGTTTATTTACATGAAAAAACCCAAATTTGATTAGACTCTTTTATATTAACTTATCATTCTCTTTTTTTATGGAAATATTGCAAAATCATTTCCAAAGTTTATCCTCTTTTTAGTAATGTAAAACATTAGAAAATATACGATTTGATAAATGGTTATCTACAGAAAAATCTCAATTTTTTTTCAAAAGTCTCAATAAAGTGCTATTTTTTTTAACAGAAAAGTCTTAATATTTTGATTTTTTCTTAAATTAACGAAAAAGTCATTTTTTATATTTAAACAGCAAATGATAGATTATATGATTTTTTTCAAAATATTGTGACTTTTCTGTTCAAAAAAAAATTTAGGATTTTATTGAAATTTTTGAAAAAAAATTAGGATTTTTTTTGTAGATAACCCTTTGACAAATTCACTGAATGTGCTCAAAGATATAAGAGATATCTAGAATTAGTGCTAACAAAAAATATTGCAAGTAAACATTACACATATATGTCATAATGTGGTTTTTTTTTCAGCTTTAATATTGGCAGATGTTTTCAACTTTAATATTGTCTCCGCGATGGGAGCCTTCTGGTTAATGTATAAAAGTCCATAAACTAGGTTGAAAGCTTAATTCGTAAACGTTATGTTATTGTTAGTGTTCTACGATTATTTCTATGTTATAAACCCTAAAACTGGTTCAATGTGGGACATCCAAAATGTATAGTTTACTTATTTTTAATATGTGGTCTAGCAGATACATGTAGACCACCTTCTTATTAAATATTAATGTAATTTTAAATAAAATGACAAAATAATAACATATTTAAAAATATATATGCAGGATTTTAGGTTATTTTTTCATTTGTTATAAAAGACGTTCTTTCATGACCACAAAATAAATCTATAATTTGGAAATAAAATTTTTAATATATTGGTTTGGAATATATTTAGGTGTTTGTTAAATGCTTATTGTTTAGGTTTTCTCGCAATTCAACAAAAAAGTTAGAAAATTGTGTTTTGATTACCGAATGAAAAAAGAAGTGATGATGGAATAGAATTTGAGATTTTCTAATATGTACCTAAGGCACATATAAAAAACATTAACTGAAATATTAATTATGAAAATATTATTATAATTAAATGTGATAAATATTAATTATAATAAGATTCTTTATAATTAATTTATTTTGCAATTAATTATGATAATATTACATATAATTAATGTCTATCATATTTAATTATGATAATATTTTTTATATTTAATATTCTAATTAATATTTTTTTATGTGTATTTAGAACATATATTAAAAAAAAAATACAAGACTACATTATACATATTTTTCATTTGAAGATTTATTTTAAAATAATCCAATAATATTAGATTGGTGTCTTGACTACGAGTTACAAGTTACAATGGTTGTCAAATGAAGAAGTTGTCAAACTTTTGTGGTCAAAATAGAAATATGAAACTCCAAAAAGGAGCGAGGATGGGTTAATAACTCGATCTACGCGCCCAATCAAGCACGGGTGTTCAGAACGGAGTCGACAAAAATGAGGAAAAGGAGGGGAGAGGAGTAATTGTGCATTGACTAAATAAATGCATACCGAAGATTCTCAATGAAGGCAAAGTTTCGAAAATGATCCTTTTGGTTTTTGAAAAGTAACAAGATGGGACTAATTTTCACATTTATTTTAAGAAAAAAAAAAGATCAATATGCCCCATAGGACCATTTTAAAAAGATATTTTTTTAAACATCAAACACACCTCACCACCGACTACCATCCATGAATATTATTATGGATTTTCTAGAAAATCTACCTTGAATGAAAAGATATTATAAATTGGGCTTCAATTCCATGACCACCATCATCTTCCGATCATTAATGGTGATTATGTTAGGGCTAGTATTTTAGCCCACAACCAACTACCATTGACACTCACCCACAACAACCACTAAAAACAAATTTAAAATTTTATATATAATGGTTTCCACACCTTTAAAATCAAATCCAAACACAAAAACATAGAAACTTCTTCCATAATAATCTTTTTCAATGAAATAACCAAAATGAAGAACATGAAACCTGCACCCTTAATCAGCTCTCACGTACACCCTAGAGAGCTTTGCCAAGTTGCATTGTTGGAGTTCCATTCTTTAAACTAGACATCGGAATGAATCGAACTCCAATAAAATGATATACATTGTTGACTTTGAGATTACGCACAGTGTGACTTAGTACCCTTCAAGAAATGAGAATCTACTACTCAACTAAGCATAAAGTTGCACAGGGATAATAATTAAGCAATGCAATGGAAGAAAGGAACAATATGCATAGAAGAATGCTTTGTTGCTGCTATATATTCAAAAAGCAAGCATATCCTTTAACAGGCTTACAAATGAGAATAACTAGGAAACATACTCCATAATTTATTCAACTACCTACCATGACTCCATAAAGCTAAAAACTAGGACAACCATGTTAACTAAAGCTAAAAACTAGGACAACCATACTGAGAGCATTTATTTAGTGTAATAAAATAAACAAAAGGCACATGATGGTGTTGCAAACTTTAACGCTCCCTCTCAACACCAACTTCAACCATTCCAAGTAGATAATAGAACTTGTCAAATTTGTTACCACTCAAGCTCTTTGTAAAAACATATGCAACTTGATTGTTTATTCTTACATGTTCCAACTTAACCTTGTCTTGTATAACTTCTTCTCTGATGAAGTGGTAAAGAACATTAACATGATTAGTTCTTGCATGAAAAATTGGACTCTCTACCAATTGTATTGATGATAGATTATCATAATACAAAGTAACAATATACCTTGTTTCTTAGTATAAATCTTTTAACAATTGCATAAGCCATATCCTCTCTTGAGAAGCCATATTTGCGACTCAGTACTCTGCTTCAATAGTAGATAGAGATATCCTACACCAAGAAATTGCTTCAGACCCAAACATAAAAGCATACCCTGTTGTTGAACGACAAGTATCTTCATCTCCTGCATAGTCAGCATCGCAATAACCATATGTCATGCAATCTCCACGATTCTTGAACATGATACCATATTCAAGTGTACTCTTCACATACCTTAAAATTCGACATACCGCATCCAGATGTGGGTTCTTGTGATTTTGCATATATCGACTAATTACACCAACTGCAAATGAGAGATCTGGTCTTGTTAAGGTCAGGTAGATAAGGTTGCCTACCATCTTCTGATACATACTAGCATCTTCCAGATATTTTCCTTTATGTGCACAAAATTTGACATTCAAAACCATTAGTGTAGAGGCTGGTTTGCACGGAAGCATCCCAAACTTATTAAGCAAATATGTAGAATAGTTTCGTTGGTGTAGAACTATTCCTTCTTCAATATGATTCAACTCTAATCCCAAAAAGTGTTTGAGTTGCTCCAAATCCTTCATCTTAAAGCGAACACCTAAATTCTCTTTGATCTGGGTAATTTCTTCTGCACAATCACCTGTGATGATTAAATCATCCACATATACCTGAACTATTGCTATCCTTTTCTCCTTCACCTTAATGAATAAGATAGAATTTGTAGAAGTTGTTAGATAACTATTACGAGTAATGAATTCAATGATTTTACTGTACCAAGCCCTCAGTGCTTGCTCAATCCCATAAAGTGCCTTTGAGCTTGCAAACATACTCAAGGTGATCTTGACTCAGAAACCTAGTAGTTGATTCATATAGATCTCTCGATCCAACTCTCCATGTAGGAAGGCATTCTTTATGTCCATCTGCCACAATTCTAACCGAAATGACATGCAAGAGATCCGAATATACTCAAGAATCCTCATCCCACAAGCTTCTTAGATTTTCCAAGACTCTCCCTGATTTGAGTATGGATCCTATGCTTTCAATAGTACGGGCCCAATACTACCTTCCGTACCTACCTATGTCAGGCATATCTAGGTGCCCGATCTACCCTCCAGTTTATTTCAACTAGTTACGGGGTCTATTTCACCCCTACCACTACCACGTAATATCATATCATAAACATATTGTCAGGCATATCTTGGTGCCCAACTTACCCTCCGGTTTATTTCAACCAGTTACGGGGCCTACTTCCCCCTCCTACCACTACCAAATAATAACATAGCATAGAAGCACATAAATCTCTACAGATAGTGGCATACTAGACAATTATCATAAAGACAATCATTTATACTATAAACAACTACTAGTGGGTCGACATTGGTACCTTCGACCTCATCGAGCACATCTTTTTCAACCGTCGTCTTCAAAAAAAACATTGATTTTTCCCACCTTAATTCTCCATTTCCGTAGAACCTCGTTGTTGTCTTTGGTTTTTGGTTGCTTGACTTCAGTTCCATACACAGTGTCCCACAAATTTTGGCCTTGCATGTAAGACGCAATGCACGTCGACCAAGAGTTGTAGTTTTGATTGTTGAGTTTCCTAATTCCACCAACCACTTAAAGATCTACCATATGTATCTAAAACTAGATTCTTAACTTTGAGATTACACACAATGTGACTTAGTACCCTTCAAGAAATAAGAATGTAGTACTCAACTAAGTAGAAAGCTGCACAAAGATAATAACGGAAGAAGGAACAATATGCACATAAGATGCTTTATTGGTGCTACATATTCAAAAAGCAAGCATAACTTTTAATAGGCTTACAAATGAGAATAAATGGGAAACAAAC